TTCAACCCACCACTAGAAATACATTTGAAATTATGGCAGCCATACAAATCCACACCCTGCATATACAACCTGAAACCCCACAGACTTTTTTTTTAAGATTTATTTATTTATACATACCAGAATTGGGGTACAGACCAGAGGTGTGGGGGATGAGAGGGTTCACCAAAGACAATGTGGGGAACAAAACAGATGGATTGACTGAAATACACCACTAAGAGGAGCAGTAAGCAGGACAGGAGAGGTCTGCTGCACCATGTGGGTCTCCTTCCTGGCCAAGGATTGAACTCGTGCTGCAGTGGCTGCCAATAGCTTCATAGTGCTGTGCTTTAACCTGCTGCATCACCAGGGAGGGCTCCCCGCAAAACATTTTAATATGACTTGCTGATGTCTCTCCATTCTGTCTAGTGTATCACATCTTTTATAAATTGCCAATTTAGAACCAATAAGTTGCTTTCATGGCCTACTCATGTTTGAGAATTTTTGGTCTAAGGTATATGAGTTAATAAGTAATTCAAGTAAATTTCTCAGACTCCAATAAAAGAAAAAGAAAATATTTGAGAAGCACCCTGACTACACAGTGAGTTAGCAGAGCATGAGAAAACCATTTGCTCCTGCTGATTTCCAGGCACTGGATTTCAAAACTGTAAATTTGCACAGAAACTAGTCCTGCACATATTTAAGTGTAATTAATTTAATATAAATAAAATTGAAAGTTTAGCTCCTCTTTAGCACTACTGGTATTGCAAGTATTTATGACTACCGTATTAGACAGCACATAGAGAAAGTTCTACTGGACAGTGCTGTTCTAGCTAGAGCATACATATGAGATGTAGCCCTGGTGTACCCATGTGGTAAGTGACAGGGTTGAACTCGATCACCTCTAAAATTCCTTCCAATTCAAAGATTCCTCATGTTGAAGCCTATAAATTCAATACGTGACTGTGACGGAGAAATGTGCCTGAAGACAGAATTCTGGGGCCAGAACTTGTGTGCTGAGCAACTGATCCCTGCATATAAGAAAGCTCAGGAGTGAGAGGAAGCCAAAGTTCACTGCAGCATCTGTGTTAAAAGCCAACCTTGTTTACAGAGAGGGCTAAGAGGACAGAGAGCAAAAAAACACAAAGTTGAAGGACTGACATTCCCCAACTGTAAGACTGTTATAAAGCTCCAGGAATCAAGACGGTGTGATATTGGGAGAAGAATAACAAAAAGATTAATGGAGGGAGAGCCTAGAAGGGGCGTGCAGGGGGCATGTAGTCAGTGATCTTTGACAAAGGATCAAAGAAGATATAATGGAGCAATGATAACCTTTTTCAACAAGTGGTACTGGACAGCTGGACATCCACATGCAAAAATAAGAATCTAGACAAGACCTGCAGTCTTCATCAAAACGAACTCAAAATGAATCACAGGCCCAAAGTGCAAAATTATAAAGCTTCCTAGAATATAATATAAGAGAAAACCTAACCAACCTTGGGTATAGCCCGACTTTCCAGGCACCGTCCGTGGGGAGTGCAGAGAAACAGAGAAACGTCCTGCCTCAGTGCTGCAATCCCAGTGTGAGCTGGCGGGGCCTGCACTTGCTCTGGTCTTTTGCGATCAGAGTGTCCAAGAGAAAGAAGTATGTTTTCTGTGGGTGTCTGAGCTTCAACATCATGTTTTTGATGGTAAAATCTTTGTAGTTAGTGTTGTATTCTTTCTTAATTTTCAAAATAGTCTTGAAATAACTTACATACGATAACTTATTTAACTATCACCCAATCAGATGAAACATTTCTGCTGACCTTTCTTGCCAATCCCTGCCTCCCACCCCCGTTGAAGGCAGCTTTGGACTTGAAAGTTTTGCCTCCTATGGGGTCTCCCTCAGGGCTCAAGAGGTTAGATCTTGGCACTGTGGAGTGATCTGCAGCCACTGTGGCACAGGTTCAGTTGCCCATCCTGGAAGCAAACCCATATGGTGAAGCAGACCTCTCCGGTCTTGTATTTCAGTCGACCTGCTCCCCACGCTGTCTCTGGTGGATCTTCACTCCTCTGGCCTGCACCCCAGCTCCTCTATGCATAAATAAATAAACCTCTCAGAAAAAAAAAAAAACCAAAATTTTGTCTCCTATCACTCTGGATTAGTTTTGCTTTTTCTAGAGTGTAATACCTCTGGAATCATTCGGCATGTATTTTACTTTGACTCATTTGCCTAGCACAGTGCTGTTGAGAAGATCTTGTTGCATTGTCATTGCTTCCTTTTCATCACCAGGCAGGATTCCATTGTGTGGATTTATCAGAAGCTGTTATCCATTCATCTGTCAATGGACATTTGAGTTTGAGTTTTGGGTCAACAAATTCTGTTT